TCGGGCATGGGGCTTGAACTCTGGGCCTGGGCGCTGTCCCTCAGCTCTTCAGCTCAATGGTAGCGCTCTACCACTTGAGCCACAGCGCCACTTCCGGTTTTCTGGGGGTTTATGGGAGAGAAGAGTTTCACAGATTTTCCTGCCCGGGCTGGCTTTGAACCGCGATCCTCAGATCTCAGCCTCCTGAGTAGCTAGGATTACAGGCGTGAGCCACCGGTGCACGGCTGGGACAGAGATCTTTTTTTTTTTTTTTTTTTTGGTCCAGTCGTGGGGCCTGAACTCTGGGCCTGGGCGCTGTCCCTCAGCCTCAGCTCTTCAGCTCAAGGCTAGCACTCTACCACTTTAGCCACAGCGCCACTTCCAGCTTTTTTTCTTTTTGCTTATGTAGTGCTGAGGAATCGAACCCAGGGTCTCAGGCATGCAAGGCAAGCACTCTACCACTGAGCCACCTTCCCAGCCCCAGGGGACAGAGATCTTAACTCACAAAACCAAACAAGAAGGGAGGCAGGGGCTCACACCTGTCATCCCACCTACTTGTGGGCTGAGATCTGAGGATCACAGTTGGAAGCCAACACCGGGCAGAAAAGTCTTGAGATTTTTTTTTACCTCCAGTGAACCAACAGAAATCTGGAAGCGGAACTGTGGCTTAACTGGTTGAACATCAGCCTTGAGCAAAAAAAAATCTCAAGTACGATGCCCACGACTCACTTTCAAGGGTAGGGGACACACACACACACACACTCACTAATCCAAAACAAATAGACTATGCATTCATACACTGTGAGAACGAAAGAGGATACTCACTCCAAGGGGAGGAACACAAAGGCGAAATGCCCATGTGCTCCTGATCATAGAAAATATCAAAATGAAAATAAACGAAGAAGAGTGTCCTGCTGAGGACAAAATGATGTCTACAGTACTCAATTTCTGTAACAATTCTCCAAGGGTATTGCTTCAAAACTCAAAACGTGTTAAAACCCAGTCTCCCTTCCTTTTAAAAAAAAAGTGTCTCTGTGTGTGTGTGTGTGTGTGGTGTGTGTGTGTGTGTGTTGCTGGGTCCTGGGCCTTAACTCAGGGACTGGGTGCTGTCCCTGAACATTTTTGCTCAAGGCTAGCCCACTTGAGCTATAGTTTCACATTTAGGTTGATCAGAGTCATTTTCCTGCATTGTCTGGCTTCAAACCAGGATCCTTAGATTTCAGCCTTCTGAGTAGCTGGAGTACAAGTGTGAGCCGCTGGTGACCAGCTATGTCTCCTTGTTTTCTGATTACTACTCTTACACTTGTGTTGAAGCTGTGGACTGACAGGACAGGGCATCTGGTAAAGGAAGTGTTGTAAAACTTGATTCCAGTCTGGCCAGTGTGTATAGCTGACAGCATCAGGTAAGATGTCCCCTAATCATTTCTGGTTCACCACTGTCCTTGGTACTGAAGAGCTTGAAGAACTCTGAATTCTTACTCACTTAGTAGGGGAAGAAGAAATAGCAGTCTTATTTTCTTACATGCTGCATTTCCTCCAAAGAGTATTTTGTGCAAATCTTTCCAGGTTCTTCTTTATAAGAAGTATCCTAGTTATATTGGAGACCCTACCCCCAGAATGAGGTCATTTTCACAACATGTGCTCAGGGATGTCAAGCACACAAGAGCTGACTATTAGGGGGGTCTGGGGACATAGGTTTTCAGTTCTGGAAATTGGGTTAATGTATCATTAATTTTCAGATTATGCATCATAGATTCCTGGCATGTCAGGTATGGCAGTTCTTGGCTTTGCATGGTCAGGTCTTGCCATCCTTTTCCATGAATTATGGGGGCTGTAGGTTGGCAAATCCCTCTTCTATGTAACAAGTTGTTCTGTTAATGACTGAAGTCCAAAGGTGATTGCTTATTAACATCCGTGCCATCATTCTCTGCCATCAGAGTTTTTAACTTCCTGCCTAAATTTACATCATATACAATTGCTATTTTGACATTGTTGTTGGTTCCTATGTTTTTTTAAACATTAATTAATTAATAGTAGTGAAACTTAGGGTCTGTTGCTCACTAGGTAAGTTGTTTTACAGTAGAGTCTTGCCCTCATATTTTTCAGATAGTGTTGTAGTTTTGCCCATGATACGTCCATACCCACCTCTTAAGCAGCTTGTAATACAAGTGTAAAGTATAATGTCTGGCTAGAATTCTTTGTTTTCTTTCTGCTTTGGAAGTATTGGGGCTTGATCTTGGGCTTGTGCTTGCCAGACAGGTAGTCTGCTGAGCCTGGTTATGCACTATTCTTTTCTTGTGATAAAGTCTTAATGTTTGCAGTAGCAGATAAGGAAACAGTATTGGCCATGTGACATCCCAATTCTGTTGTCTTTGGCAAATTCAGGAGAACACTCCAGTTTCGAAAACCTAAAATGTACTCTCTGTTCGTCTCTGCTCTCTCTGCTCTTTTCTAGCTCTTTCCTCTCTTTCCCAGCTCTCTCTCATTCCCAGGCCTTTCCCAGCCACGTGGAGTGCCAACCACGTGAATGCTGCTGTTCTTACTCGGCTATCTCTCTCTCTGTTCTTTTCTAGCTCTCTCTACTCTCTCTTTCTGTTCTTTTCTAGCTCTCTCTGCTCTTTTCTAGCTCTTTTCTCTCTCTTTCCCAGCCACGTGGAGTGCCAACCTTGCCTGGTCCCAGCAGGTCTACTGAATAAACCTACCCCTTACCTGAAAAAAAAAAACCAACCTAAAATGTATTATGCATTGAAATTGGAAATATCTCAATAGCTAACTTGATATCAAACTAGGAAATTCTACGTGTGAATTTTTGTTTATACCTAGAATTATTTAAAATATCAAATAAACTAAATGGACTGCATTTACACAGATAATTTGTTATAAAACTTTAAATATTATGTAAAAGACGCTGAATATCTGTATGTAAATTGTACCTAAAACATACATGTGTTTGACATTGCAGGAATCAGACTAATCAGAATACCAACTATACATAAGGCAGATATTTCAAAATTGAGAAATATATAAAGCCCGAACCTTTCGGGTGCCAGGCATTTTTGAGAAGTACAGTCTCAACCTTTTCCCTACAAAAAGTTGTGTCCGCTTTTAAGCTCCTTTGTATTCACTTTTCAGGAAGGATAGAATTAGTGAGAAAAAAGTGGATTATGAGGTAGGGGCAGCGGTCATTTTGTTTCATTCAGCTCTGGGTCAGATGTTTATCCTGGTGTCAGTAGAGGCACAGATGTGGTTTTGTGGCCACAGAATTTAGAAGATAGTTTTGACAGACTGAATTTTCTGTCCTGTTTACAGACAAATGACATGATCTATCTGAAGGGCAGAAGAAAATGTAGTTGCTCATGCTTAGCCTGAGACTGTTACCAACATGCCTGCATATTTCCCCAGCATTTTTTCCCCAACAGATTCATCAGGATGAGTACGTGTGGCCCACCAAGCCTCCTGGAGCTGGCTATACAGAATCTGCTGAAGGATGATGCTTTGGTCATTGCTGCTCTGGAAGAGCTGCCTGTAGAGCTCTTCCCACCTCTGTTCATGGCAGCCTATACTGGGAAACACAATGAGAGTGTGAAGAGGATTGTGCAGGCCTGGCCCTTTCCCTGCCTCCCTCTGGGGTCCCTGGTGAAGGGTGGACAGACACACCAGGAGAACTTCCAAGCTGTGCTCAATGGGCTTGATGCCCTGCTTGCTGAAGACATTTGTCCTAGGTGAGGAAGCCCAGCAGCCTGGAAGTCATTGGGGACAGAGGCCTTTAGAGCAGAGGCTTGGGTGGTGCCAGTATGGAAACAATTGTTGGTGTCTCGTTCAAAGAATGGGCCACCATATAATGCACATGTGACTGAAGGAACATGTCAGCATTCCTTCCCAGTATCACTTAAAGGTGTGGGAAATCACTTGTAGGGTATAATCTCAGTGGTAGAGTCCTGGTCTAGCATTTCTGTGGCCTCATGTTCAGTACTCATTAATACAAAGTTAAATATATGGGTAGATAACATATGATAACAAGTGATAAATAGATAGACAACAATAACCTTAAGAGAGAAGAATTCAGAGAAAAAGCAAGATCCCAGGAGAGAAATGGACAGCAGCTGATACCAAGGTTTTAGAGTTCATGTTTATTTTTGACCTTTACCTTCATTCAGAATCTCCTCCTTTTACTTTAAGTTAATAATCTGTTTTATTCACAGGCAGCAGAAACTGCAAGTGCTGGATCTGTGTCAAAAAACTACATGGTCTTGTAGTAGGAATGGTATGTGCTCACTGTCCCAAGCCATCCTGCCATTGATGAAGGTAAAGGTGGATGGATCCAGTATGGGGGCAAAAGAGCCCAGGGCTCCTCTGAAGGTATTCATAGATCTCTACCTCAGTATTGGCAGCCATGATGAATGGCTCACGTCTCTTATTGAAAAGGCCAAGCAGTGGAAAGGTTTACTACACTTATACTGTAACAAGTTGAGTATTTTTGCATTGTCCATGCAGAATATGAAGGTCTTGAAAGTTGTGAGGTTGTATTCTGTCCAGGACTTGGAACTGATCTGTAACTGGAAATTGTCCGTCCTGGGGAAGCTTCTTTCTCTTCTGCCATACATGGGTAAATTGCACAGACTCTTCCTGTCTCAGACACAGATGTCCCAGTGTAGTTCCTGGGAGGAGGAGGAGCAGTTTGTGGAGACATTCAGCTCTCAGTTGCTCAGTCTGCATCACCTCCAAGAGCTTCATTTGGAATCTATCAGCTCCCTTGAAGGCTCCTTGTGCAACCTGCTCAGGTGAGGGAATATTAAGTTTTCTTCTGTAGAATGGGACAAGTTACTTATTTCAGGAAAAATAAAGCATCTCTGTTCTGTGACAGCCACAATCAGTGTGTCCCTGGATGTTAACATTTATCTTGTTCCCAAGTATGGCATCTGTGCAAACAGTTTGGAGGCAGTCTTTGTCCCTCTTTGGATTGGAATAGTGCAATTGCATAGACTGGATACAATCATCTCAAGTTATATAGAAAAAAATACATTTTGTCTCACAGATCCGAGGACCAAGGGGAAAAACATCTGGTGAATGCTGCTGTTCTGGTAGAATACCAGAGTAGAGGGTTTCATGGCTCAGAGACTGTATATGCTCAAGCAATGTAAGGACACTGGGTGTGGTAGTTTACACCTGTAATTCAAGCATTTGGCAGGAAAATTTTGTCTTTGAGATAAACTTATGCTACATAGTGAAATTCTACCTAGAAATTAAAAAAGAACACAATACACACACACTTATACACTCAAGAGTTAGACATAGAAAGAGAATTAAATAAACTAGATTTTATAAAGGATTTATACTTTAGACAGCCCATTGATATATTGATCCAGTGATTATAACAGTACATGCTTAACCCTCTTAACAGTTCTACCTAATCCCTTTTATTTGATCATAATGGAGATTCAGTGTTAATATGAGTTTGTACTTCATGTGAGGGAGTATATAATGAAACATATCATTCTAGAAATGAGGGGGAATGAGGAATTGGAAATACTGATAGGTGGTTAAGTGATAATACAAAAGTCTAAAGTTGGTCCCTGCTGCTGGCAGACATTTTGAGTGCTGTTTACCTCCTGTGTTTGTACTCTATGAAGGATATTTTAGTAGCCTCATATACAAGGTAATACAGGTGACTTGCCTAACAATTTCTGGAAGAAACCCTGGTTAGTTTTAGTTGTTGTTTCTGTTGCTGCTCTTCTCCTCTTGGTTGTTTAGCTGCTGCTTCTTCTTTGTCTTCTGCTGCTGCTTCTGCTGCTTTTTTGCCTTAAGAAATTAATTTTTACCTGGTGCCAGTGGCACACACCCATAATCCTAGCTACTCAGGAGGCTGAGATCTGAGGATCGCTGTTCAAAGCCAGCCCAGGCAGGAAAGTCCGTGAGACTCTTTATCTCCAATAAACCATCAGAAAACTGGAAGTGGCGCTGTGGCCAAAGTGGTAGAGTGCTTACCTTGAGCTGAAGAGTTGAGGGACAGCGCCCAGGCCCAGAGTTCAAGTCCCATTACCTATTAAAAAAATATTCATTTTCCCGTAGGTTATTAATTAAAGGTATTTATATTTGTGTCTCTGAAACTAAAATAATCTAATGTCTTTCTTTTCTTGACACCTAGGCTCAGGTTTTTTTCTGAGTACTTTCTGTGGTCCTCTTATTTAACAATCACACCTGTGTATGCTTTGCTCTACTCAATAGATAAGGAAAGGGAATATGTGAGATCTTGTATACTTGAACCAGTTCCACAGCAAGGTTAACAGTGTAGAAAGGACTTCATGTAAATTGGTCTTGTTGGTAGACCTTTTTATAGTATGATATCCTGAAGGTTTGGCATCAGGAAAACTTGGGTTTTTCTTTGCTCCATTGGCTGTATTGAGTCCTGAGTTTTCCCCAATGGCTGCTTCCCATTACCACCAGTCCTCAGAACTGATTCTTCTCTCTGTCTATAGGTGTCTGAAGAGCCCCTTGAAGATCCTCTCTCTCACCAATTGTCTGCTTCTGGAATCAGACTTGATGAATCTGTCCAAGTGCCCCAGTACAAGACAGCTAAGGGGACTATGTCTAAATAGGGTTCTCCTGATGGATATAAGTTCTGAGACCCTGGAAGCACTGCTAGAGAATGTCTCAAGCACCCTCCAGGTCCTGAGCCTAGAGGAATGTGGAATCATGAACCTTCAACTCACTGCCATTCTGCCTGCCCTGAGACACTGTTCCCAGCTCACAACCTTTAGCTTTTCTGGGAACCCCATCTCCATAAATGTGCTGTTGCGTGTCCTGCGCCACACCATTGGGCTGACTAAGTTAAGGCATGTGCGATATCCTGCTCCATTGGAGTTTTATGAGCATGTTGGAGATGGGTTGCTTGCCACCCTACACGCCAAGCTGATGCAAATGCTACAAGAGTTGGGGCGGTCAGACATGGAGTGGCTCAGTGGCAAACCCTGTCCTCATCGTGAGTGGCCCTTCAGTGACCTGTGGCCCATGCCTTGGTAGTGTCTGCACAGGTAAGTGGCCATGTCCACAGCTTTATTGAGGGCATGTGGACACAAACCCACAAATCACAGAAGCAACAGTTACAAAGAACTACTCATGGTAAGCAGGAAAAGGAAAGATGATCAGGGATAGAATTTAGATATTGACTTGGGGCAGTGTGGTTATTGTCAAAAATATTCTAAAGAGTTACAAATGAGAATCTGAAGTTTTAGATGGGTAGAGCAATGTATAAGAACTGCCCCTACATGGATGAATGTAAAGAAATAGCCACAATTAAAGGAACCTTAATATAAATTATTTGGTATACTGTGTGATATATAAACCTGCTTCTGTAACTTAGAAGTTGGATATTTTTTAAAGTCAAGGGTTGACAAAAGAAATTTGCTGAGAAATGATTGGCAGAAACATATTTATTAGGACACTATTAAAAGGACAATGGTGGCAGCGAGGCCAAGAGCATTATTGCTGGTGTTTGTGCTGCTCCTTTTGCTGCTGATATGAAGGTGCCAATGTGGGGTTGGCAACAGGCTTTTATAGAGTTACTGTTTTCTGTTTGTATCTCTTTGGAGGAGTCTTGCTCATTGGTCATTTTTTTTTTTCTTGGCGAATAGTTTGGTTTTTCTGCATTTCATGGGGCCCATTTCATGTGCTTGTGTTGCCTCCACATTCCACCTTGGCTATGGGTATCTGTCTGCTATATCTCCTTAAGGGGAGACAGTCTTTTACCTACCTTCTTCCTGAAGAAAAGAACAAATCCAATCTTGGGTTTAGTGCTGTGATTATCTCATCTTAGATTTGCATGGAGCTGGTAGGGTCCTAAATATGTCCTAACCTACCTATTCATTATCTTAGCATATGAATATGGAGCAATCCACTGAGCCATGTCAAGATCAAATTGATTTTGGAATAGAATTTTATGGCATCATGCTCCATGGAACAGAGAAGCACTGGAGGGTCAGACAGTATGCTGTACCCTGGTCACTAAACCTTTAGCCTAATGCATGTAGAAAGAACACTGGGTAGGAAGTTAATAAAGTGAGTTCTAGTGTAAGAAAGGAATAAAGTAGTTGGGAGGTCAGTACTGTGAAGAAGTGAGGCCAGGATCTCCATGACCAGGTATTTTCCTTTGAGATTCATCTGAGAATTGATAGGTTAATTTATGAGTGTTGTCTTGAGCTTGTCCTGAAATTTAACCCCAAAGCATCAGTCTTTCCCAAGCATAGCACAGGTTTCCTTCTGGGTGACAGTTGCCATATCTAGAACTCTTCCATTTCTAAGACTTCAACAAGAGTCGATAGGTTTTTTACAAGTGAGTGTTTGAGCTAGTGTACTGAAAGCAAATGCTATTTGAAGAGATGGGTTTTTATAGATTAAAGAGAAAAAAATATGAATATCTAAAAACAGAAAATATAAACTTGAGGCTTATTTACATTAGTGTGTTTCTGTTCTTAATATGAATGTCCATATGAGGTCTCTCACAAAACAAGAGATCACTTAATTAAATTTGTGTTAGATTTAGGAGAGAGATAAATTATCTTTCTCAACCATGTCTTTTTTTTTTTATTGTAAAGATACTATACAGAGGGTTACAGTTACATGAGTGAAGTAATGAGTACACTTCCTCTTGAACATTGTTAGCCCCTCCATTGTTTTCCCCCTACCATCCCCTCCCTCCCTCCCTTCCCCGAAGTTCTTTTTTTTTTTTTTGATTGTGATTAAGTGATTACATAGTTTCTAAGTCACAAGTTCATTCTAACTTTCCTGGAGCAAATTGTCTATCACAGTCTGTAATATATAACAGTGTTCACATGTTATACACCATACATGTGATCAGCAGCATGGGGATTTTTAGTAGTGGTTCAACCAGATGAGCAGGAGTTCTTTGTTTCTTAAGTCCTGTTAGTTTTGTCGTATCACCTAACATTTTGGATTTATCATCCACTTATCAGGGAGACCATGTACCGTTTGTCTCTTCGCTCTTGGCTACCTCGCTCAACATGATTCCTTCTAGCTCCATCCATTTCCCTGCAAATGCCATTATTTTGTCATTTCTAATGGCTGCATAATATTCCATTGTGTATAGATACCACAATTTTTGGATCCATTCATCTGTCGTGGGGCATCTGGGTTGTTTCCATATCCTAGCTATTGTGAACAGTGCTGCAATAAACATGGAAGTGCACGTGTCCTTGTATATTGGTTCCTGTTGTTCAGGGTAGATGCCTAGAAGTGGTATGATGGGTCGTAAGGGAGGTCAATCTTTAGCTTTCTAAGGACCCTCCAGACTGCTTTCCAAAGTGGTTGTATAAGTGTACATTCCCACCAGCAGTGTAATAGGGTTCCTCTTTCTCCACATCCCCTCCAGCATTTGTTATTGGCTGATTTGTGGATGTGGGACATTCTGACTGGGGTAAGGTGGTATCTCAGGTCTCAACCATGTCTTTAGCCAGCAGCCCCAAATGTCTCGGGAAAGTTAAATACTTTCCTTTGGGTCAGAGGGCAAGATGGTCACATCAATACAGAGGCAGAGTTAATGCTTTCCAGGGGAAAGGAGAGGTGTTTAATTTCTTGGGAATTGAATTATATCAGAAAGTCAGGGGAACATGTGCTGAAACTTTGTGGAGTTTTAAACCTGGACATTAAATGTTTGTTCCGGGCTGATGTGAAATCTATGGAAGGCCAAAGTTACCCACACAGGGAAATGGGGTAGAATGGCTCTGAAATGCTGGACAAATGAATAGAGCTTAAAGGAAATGTAAGCACCTGTGAGTAACCGAAGGCAGGGGGAGGATTCTGGGGAATGGTGGTTACCTCTGAGGAAATGGAAGGAGGATCCTAGAAACCAGCTTGGATCATGAATATTGGGTGGAGTAAATCTGGGGATCATTGAGAATATCAAGGGAATCCTTTGTTTTAGGGAATAAGACTAGGAATATTTGACATCCATCTTGGGGGTCTTGAACTGATATATAAAGGTCTGGAGGCAAGGAAACTAAGCCCTTTTAGAGGAACCATGGCAGAAAATATGAAGTGGAGAAGTGTTGTTATGAATTAAAGTGCTGGGTTGAAGCCACATTTCTCCATCTTTCAGTTTGTGAACAAGTTAGGCCACATTACAAAGAAAAATATTTCTTTTTTTTTTTTTTTGGGTCCGGTCATGGGGCCTGAACTCTGGGCCTGGGCACTGTCCCTCAGCTCTTCAGCTCAAGGCTAGTGCTCTACCACTTGAGCCACAGCGCCACTTCCGGCGTTTTTCTTTTTTGCTTATGTGGTGCTGAGGAATCGAACCCAGGGCCTTGAGCATGCAAGGCAAGCGCTCTACCACTGAGCCACCTTCCCAGCCCGAAAAATATTTCTTTTTAAGCATTTCTGAATAAAATTTCCCTGTTTTTGAAAAATGCAACTCAGAGATGAGTCTTAGGGGATAGATGTGGTTTACTTCATGTTAAGGAAGTTTCTGATGCCCTTATGTCTTTGAGTTATCCCACCAGGAGAAAAAAGTTCCGTAACTCCCATAAATGTTAGGACCAGGGTGCTGCTCTCATTGGGTATCTCTCTTAGAGGGAATCTAAAATCAAGATATAACTCTCAGGAATAAGATGAACCATGTAATGCTGCTTTCAGGATTGAGACTACCACTGAACATTACATGATGGTATGCAGTGCTGACTATGCCTGAACAGAGAAAGGGATGGAAAAGGAGGCACCAAGGCCTGGCACCCAGACTCCTTTCACAGGGCAAAAATGTTAGTTTAGATAATGTCAAATAGTCCACCAATTCCTCAGCCACAAATGATGCCTGTCCTCTTTCCAACTTTGTCAACTTCTATTCATCCTGAGCCAGAGCACTCTGAAGGATACACTGGAAATTTCCACAGCCACGTTCATAAAAAGTTCCTACAGAAAGCAAGGTAAAGGAAATCATCAAGCAGTTGTAGACCATGCAGACAGTCGAGGTCATACCGTGGAACAAAGTTTCTAAAATTCCTATAAAGCAAGCACATGTTATACCCCATGAGGGCACATCTGTAGGTACCTCGAAAGTGATTTTGAAAAGCAACAAAATACTGCTGAGCTCTGCAATATGCATATTCATCTAGATGTGCAGCTAGCCAAGAGGACAGAGGAGGGGACTATTCCTTTATTGGGTCATCTTGGAGTAGGCAATGTTCTAGATTCCTCTAATGTACTTTTGCCATAGGAAGTAGCCACCCAGATGTCTTTCCTGGAGAGTAACTAATGTCAGGGGTAAGCCTTCCTTCCTCACCACCATCTGCTTCTACACCTTCTGTAATACAAAGTGGCTGTTAAACACCTGATTGCTGTGTTTGACAACAAAGTCTAGGTGCTAAAGGGCCAAGAAACTGAAATCAGACCACCCATGTGGATACATCTCACATTGACCTGGCTTGTACTCAGAAATGTGATGAGAAGCAAGGGAGGACAGGCTGGAAATAAAGATGAGGCTTCAGAACACTGGCTCAATGGACAGCCTTTGCTCCTTGTGAACAGCCCAGGGTTGCTGTCTTGCTCTGACATGTCCCTCTGAGCACTGAGATTGTTTAAGCTGTAGAAATTCAGGTTACAGAAGAAAATAGTCACTTCTTTGAGCAATGTCCTTCAAGTAGATTTAGGTCACATCCTTAAGGTAAGCAAAGAGGAAGAAGAAGGTAATTTACACACAAGAAGAATTTACACCCACTGCCTACATGACACAGCCATTGGCACATTTTAAAACATCTCACATGTAAACAGATAACACAATTTAATTACTTCCCTCAAAATTGCCCCTGAATACATCCAACTTCTATAGAGAAAGCACTCCAATTGTTTACTGCCCTAATCAAACCTGGTTCTCAGGACCTTCAGTACTTTGCACACTACATTGAAGTCCAAGAAGTTCTGCGGTACCAAGAAATAAAGGTATTAGGGTTTGTGAGGAAGACCAAATAAAATGGAAGTATGTTCAAAGTCTTAAGTGCTTGGGGCTTGCACACCTCCAGATGGGAGCTGGGCTGGAATTGCACAACTGGGTTACTTCTCTAATTACAGTTCTAAGCCCAGGCCAACATGGAGTCCAAGTAGGCTCACACACAGGATCCACAGAACTCCTGTTAGAGGGGAATGCCATCTGGCCCAGAGCCCAGGCAATCATTTTTAACCCTGTGTAGGCATTGACAGAATTATAACCTAGTCAGAGTATAAGGAGCCAGGTGAACTCTTCTCCAGGAAACCAGGCCTGAGGGGCTGTGACATGGCAGCCTTTAACACTGAGGAGGTGTGGGTTTACCTGGGGTAAGGGCTGACATCCTCTTCAGAAGTGGTTTCATAGAAAGGCCGCCCAGTCAGATCACAGCCAGCAAGGAGGCATCCTAACCTGCAGGGCTCCTTTCTGTGTCTCCTCCTTTCACTGAGCCTCAATTCATTCCAGTGCTTACAGAACACAGGCTCCTAAGGAACACCATAAGTGTCACCAAGGCCTAGAACCTTCCTGAAGCTCTAGACACTACCCACAGTGGTTTTGCACTTTCAGCATGAGAGGACAGGTAATGTTTGGTTGGCTTCCAGGTGTGAAAGTGAGTTCAGTGGGAGGGACTCCAGCCTTGTGATCTGATAGGCCACCTGCCTACCACTGAGAGCACATGTGGGCTCTTTGCCCTGCGCAAATGGAAACACTCTAGGGCAGTGGCAATAAACCTGGAGTTCTGGAAGGATCTTGGCCTTTGAGATCCTAAAACCAGAGCTAGTTGTGATTTTGCATACCTGCATTTCCAGACCTACAGAAATGGAGGTAAGATCCTGAGTTCTAGGCCAACTTGGAGACTTTGTCTTGAAAAGAGAAAGAACAGGGGTTGGGGATTTAGTCCAGTGGAGGAGCACTTGCCTGGCAGGTAAAAGGCTTGAGTTCATTCCTCAGCTGTGCAAACAACAACAAAAGCAAAATGCAACAACAACAAAGCAAAACTTTCAGATCTAGCTAGGGCTCAGAAACAGATTAGTCTGTCCCCATCCACGGTTTAGGCCATCCAGAGTCCAGCTATCAAACCCCAATGTTCCTTTTCCTTCAAAGCAGCAGGAGTTTACCCTGTGACAAAGAAACTTGACCCTTGAACCCCAGGCAAACAAATTGACTCTAGTGTCCTGTTGTGACTGTTTTCTGCTACAACAGCAAAAATGACTAATTGTAAGATTTAAACCAGCTAAATAGACCCATAACAAGTAATGAAATTGAAATGACAATAAAAGACCTATCTAAGAAGAGCTCAGGACCTGATGGATTCACAGCTGAATTCTATAAGGCCTTTAATAAAGAACTCACTCTAATATTCCTCAAACAATAAAATTGAAATAGAAAGATCATTACCAAACATTCTATAAAGCCAGCACAACCCTCAATCCAAAACCAGATGAGGATCCATCTCTGATGAACATTGACCATACACACACACACACACACACACACATCATTGTATATGTGTGTATGTACATATAAATATATACATAGTCATACTGGTCTAAAAATCACAATCAAATGGTAGTTCTAATTTCTAATCTGTTCTAATTACTTTAAATAGAAATGAACTAAAATTTCCAATCAGAAGATGTAAAGTGGTCAAATAATCTGCATTTAAAGACACATGAGAGTGAAAATTAAGAGAGGAAAATACATAATGCAAGGGAATATTAAAAGACACAAGATAGCTGTATTTATAATCTATGAATATGTATAGTATCTTTCAAAGGCCAATGTCTTAAAGGCTTGGTCACTAGTATGAAATTATTAGTTGGCACTGTGGACCATTAGGCTATTGGGTTTTACAAATAATCTTTAGAGCATAAGGGATAAGCTATGAAAAAAGATTATGGGAGCACAATAGTTTGGTCTCTCTCTGGCTCTAGATATTGTTGATCTAACACCTGATACAGTGTTGTTCCAACATTATATGATTGCTATGTGTTTCCTTCAATAGAGGACCAAAGTAATATGGCCACATTATCTAAACCTTGAATCTCCAGAACAGTGAGCAAAATTAACCTTTGCCTATTATAATCAATTTTGTTGAGTATTTTGTTTTAATACACATCTGATTAATACAATACACTAGACATTATAGATTAAAAATAAGATGGCCCAAAGAGTCAAAGAAAGTCATTATATATAGTGAGTCTAATAGTCTGATAGTGAGTCTAATCATTATTAGACCATATGAAATCCTGAGACCTTGTCCCCAAGACCTTGTCATACTTGTAAATATAAATGCACCTAGCATTAGAAGATCTAAACAAATGACAATGACTAACATATGAAGGCAGAGATAGCAATAATAATGTACAAGGCCTTTATATTTAATTTTTTATTAAGAGTTCATCCAGATGCAAAATCAACAAAGAAACAGTAAACTGCAATTTTAGACCAAATGTACATCACAGACCTATATAAAACATGTTTCTAAAGGGCAACAGTATACATATTCTTTGCAACTTCCCAGGGGGTCAGAATAGACTTGTAGATAGATATAAATCCAAGTCTAACAATTTTAAGAAGATTGAAATTACATCATGCATCTTTAAAATTTTTTTATTATTATTTTTTAATTGTGAAAATACTGTACAGAGGGGTTACAATTACATGGGCAAGATAATGAGTACATTTCTTATCAAGCATTGTAGCCTCCTCCTTCCCATCCCTTCCCATCCTCCCTGCACCCCCCACATCATGCATCTTTTCAACACAATGGGTTTCAAATGCTCATGACATGAGTAAAACTGGATGATTCACAATAATATGGAAATTAAAAAACATACCCTGGAATAACCCGTGAGTTAAAAATAAAAGAGAAATAATATTTTAGAAAACCAAAACAGAAATACAACACATCAAACTCTGGTATGGCCATAGCTTCTCACATGTGTAATCTCAGTTACTTGGTAGGCTGATCTTGGAAGAAAATAGATTGAGACCAATCTAGTCCAATAAAGACTGTACCTCAACAAACAAGTTAGGCATGATACACATACCTGAAATTTCAGCTAAGTAGGATCTAGTGTGAAAAGTGAGACCTAGTCTCAAAAATAACAGAAGCAGGGCTGGTAAAGTGGCTCAATGGTAGAGTGCTTGCCTTAACATGTATGAGGCCCTTGGTTTGATTCCTCAAAACCACATAAACAGAAAAAAGCTGGAAGTGGTGGTATGGCTCAAATGGTAGCGTGCTAGCCTTGAGCTGAAGAGCTGAGTGACAGTGCCCAGGCCTACAGTTCAGGCCCTATGACTGACTGACTAAATAAATAAATAAAAAAGAAGCAAAAGTGCTGGAGGCTTGGCTCATATAGTAGAGTGTTTTTCTAACAAGGACAAGGCTGAGTTTGAACATTATTTCTCTGTGCATAAATAACTTGTATTATGTTGTGTATATAAAATCTATGTAAATGCATCAAGATACAGCCCTCAAATATGACACTATGTATGTCTCTCTGAAATCTCTCAAATAGAACAAAAGAAAGAAATCCTTTGTTATTCATCTCACAGGGGATATCCAGAATATACAAAGAACTAGAGTACCAAATCCTAAATATAAAAACCCAAACAGTAAATGGGCGAGGAATAGTTTTTAAGTGAAGTACAAATGGATAATACATAAAAACATTTTCAGTATCCTCAGTCATAACTGAAACTTAAATAAAAACTATTGAAATTCCATCTTTCCACAGTCAGAATTACAATATCAAGGAAATAAAAAAAAACAACAAATATTAGGAAGATGCAGAGAAAAAAGAACCCTTACATTCTGGTGATGGGAAGGTGAATTAATTCAGTCACTATGGAAACCAGTATGGATTATTTGATCATATCCCACCAAAATGAATCAGCATGCAGGCATGCAGTAGAGAGCTGTAGTTTTTACCACAGCTG